CAGATCGAAGAAGTCAATCGACAGGTCACCTCCAGCAGCCAGGACATCCAGACCAGCAGCCACCAGCTCACCGAGCTGAAGCGCGAGATGCAGAACCTGGAGATCGAGCTGCAGGCGCAGCTCAGCACGGTACGCGGGGCAGCACGGAGCCTGGGCTCCTCGGGATGGCAAACTGCCTCCTGGGCACAGCTCTGTCCTGACCCCCTGCCTTCCACCTCCAGAAAGACTCGCTGGAAAACTCCTTGGCCGAGACGGAATCTCGCTACGGCTGCCTGCTGCAGCAAATCCAGGGGCAGATTAACGCCGTAGAGGAGGAGCTGGGCAACATCCGCTGCGAGATGGAGGGCCAGAGCCAGGAGTACAAGATGCTGCTGGGCATCAAGACCCGCCTGGAGCAGGAGATTGCTCAGTACCGGGCGCTGCTCAATGAGGGACAGCAAGACCTTGCGTATGTATTCTGTTTGTTAATAAGGCATACATTAGAGTGCAATGTTTTCTGTACTGACACTTGCAGAGGACAGAGCACAGTGTTTTATCAGCCCGCGGTTGAACCCCAGATATAACATTTTTTCACAGCATCTTCAATGAAATGCAAATATCGGATGCTCAGTAAGCAAATCAATTACACTTACAATTATTTAAGTTTCCCAGCTCATTTCAGCCAATTTCTAAAGTGGATTCTGTGAGAGGAACCACCGCACAAGACCAAGTCGTGACCTCTGCCCACAGCTGGGCATGCTCAGCTGCTGTGGGAGAACTGCACTCCTACAGCACTCTGTAGTTTATGCTTCTCTGGCTTTCTCATAACTTGCAGCTAGAAGGGAATGAAATGAAAAGACAAAAAGAAATATTTCTAAGATCCAGGAAAAATCCCGCTGTGACACGGATTGCACACCATGCCACAGCGTGCCGGGTTAGGAATTCATTTCTCGTTCCCTTGATCACCATTCCCTTCCCTTACAGGATGCCCCAAGGAGGAGGACGAACCTCGCACTCCTATTCTTCCACTTCCTACTCTCACGGACAATCTGGTGGAGACAAGTCAGGTAAGAAACAGTTCTAAAAAGGATCCTCATTTTTCCTGTGCCCACAGCTTTCACATTTTGTACTTCACTGCTGTTTGCTGGTTAACACTAAACATTGTGCTATGGCTTCCACATTCACAATTACAAGAGGTTAAACCATTGACAATCAAGTCTCTTAACTTCAGACTGCCGTAACTCCATCTACACAAATTGGCTAGCTTTTTGCCCACGCTCTTGCTCATGTGGATGGACCCTTAAATAATGGATAAACCTGTGCAGTCATCAGACTCTCCATGTCCTCATCAAACAGAGTAATCGTTTATTTCCTCCCACAGGGCAGACAAGAGTGTGCTGAGATGCCACCGATGCTCTGCTCCGATCCGCCTGCTGCCACCTGCGCAGCCCCAGGTGCAGGGATAACAAACAGCTCAGGCTGTGTGCCTGCGTGGAGCACAGCTCCATCTGCACACATCGTCATGCAGTGACCGTGAATCCCTGCCAGGACTCCCAGAGTTTCCTGCTTCTTCCTTTCTGTTGTTCTTCACGATCACTGTGATCCCCATACGGTCTGCAGTGCCATCGGTGCTCTGCTTCCTGCTGATTATCCTCTAATAAAACTTCACTTTTCTGCAGTGCAAAAAGAACCTGTGTCCAGTAGATGATTTAATGTATTGATATTGTACAAATATTCAAAGTTCTGTGAAAGAAATGAGATACACATTCACAGTTTGGGGATGTTCTTCAGTACAGCCCCAAAGAAAACAGCACATCCTACTTCATCAGGTGATCTGGATGAGCTATAAGGGAAGAAGGAAAGCCTGCCCAGGTTCTTATTAAACTCGAGAGTGACACCTATGGGAACAAGAAAGGATGGGAGGAAGCCTTTCGCAGAGTGTTTGATGTGAGGGCTGTACGTCCAAGTGGTTGATGTGACAGTTCAGCTTAAACAAACCTGACGTGATTAAAAGCTCAAATTGGGTTAATCTGAAGACGTGTGCCCTTGGGTTGCTGAAGAAGAAATTAATCATATTCAGGCAACCCCCGGATTTAGAGGAGGGCTCTATCTAATCTTGTTCAATAAAAGCCAAAGAGTCCATCAGGCAGTGAATGGCAATGTGCAAAGTAATAGCTCTTGAAACATGAATTTCAGCTGTTAGGGCTGCTCCCCCTGACCTGCTGGAAGGCCCAGGCTCACACCCTCTATCCGAAGGCTCAAATCCAAGCAGCTGAGGTACATCCTCTGATTTCCTGTGGGAACAGCCCCAGTTCTGTGGTGGGATGGGACTCAGGACGGAGGAAGGTTCCACCCTTTCTGTAGCTGCCCCAGCCTCACGGAACACATCGACACCATGTGAGTAGGCAGAGGAAGAAAAAGCAGTGAAATGACACATTTGAGACTTACAGACTGTGTTTCAGCCTTCGGTTCTCAGCACACGGAGCAGCAGAGCAGGATCTGCCACACAGCACCGCATGGCTGACGCAGGCTGGGTGCGTCTCAGGGCCGTTGCTCTGCAGGCAGCACACAATTCCCTGCATTTTGCTTTGCAATCAGATTTGAGTCAGGCAAAATGTCACCCTGTCACACAGCAGCTCTGCCCCCTGCTCCTCTGGTGTCACTATTCCTGAGAAATCAAACAACTGAAGCAAACAAGGAAGGCCACATGCAAGAATGCAGCTTAAAATGGGTTTCACGGTTGCCTTTTCCATTACTAAAATGTGCTGCCAAAAAAAAAAACAATGGAAGAAAAAAAAATTTTCCCCAAAATATTATTAGCTAGACTCATATTTTTTAAGGAAAAAAAAAGTAATAAAAGAGATATATTTTTCACAAGGCTAACGCTGAGATATCAGACAGCACTGAATCGCAGTAACAGCAAAGAGGTTCGAAAAGCGGAACTGCCATCAGCGCCGTGCAGCCGACCGAAAGTTCCGAGCTGCTCCCATCGGAAATCAGCCAACTCCGCGCGCCCTCGGGTTGCCGCCTCCGCGGCTGTGCTTCAGCAGCCGGCCTGCAGGGGGCGCGCGGAGGTGCGGCGTGACGCGGCGCCGCGGCTCACAAAGCGGTGTTGCGGCCTGCGGGGGTGCGCAGGTTCCTCAATTCTGGAAGTGAATCATCGCCTGCACCATAAGGAGCTTTCAGGAAGGTCGGAGGAAAGCACTGCAGCCCCGCGGCCCCAGTGCTGCAGGAGAGCTTTCAGGGCGCAGCACTGCTGTGCTGATCCCCTCCGTCCCCTCGGCACTTCCCAGGGCTCTAACAAAGAAATCTCTCGTTTGCTCTGCCTTCGATGAAGAAATGGAAGGAAATGCTGTGAACAAGGTAGTGCTGTACTCACATTTACTGGCCTACAGTAATCATGAAAAGTAGCAGCAGTCAAATGAAACAAGCACAAAAATGCTTGCAGGAAAATGCATTTTCTGTGTTTCTAAGCAGTAGATTTCTGGTAAGTTCCATGCAGCAGGTAGCATTGTGGAGAGGAGATGCCAACGAACTTCTGATCTGCTCGAAGCAATCTCGCACTAGAGCAGAGAGACGGGCAAACATTCCCTGCTGGCCCAGCACGTGCACGTTTCAGCTGTGCTGAGGCTGACTTTCACTGGGAGCCGCACGGCGCCTGCAGAGCCATTTGTGCACTCTGCCATTCCTCCTCGCAGTGCTGTTTTGAGCCCACGCTCAGCGGCGCTGCCAAGGCTGGCTGCAGGGAACACCTTTGTGTAGTGCTGGCTGCGCTCCCGAGCCCCGGCAGCAGACATGGCTGCGGATCAAAGCCCAGCCCTGCTGAGCGCCCGGCCCTCTGCCACTGCTGCTCCCAGCCCAGCTCTGCCCTGCAGCTCCGTGCCGGCTCTGCTGCCAGAAACAAAAACTCCTTTCCACCGAACCCGCTGTCAGAAACCCCTCACTGGGATCTGACGGGTTTTATTGAAGTTGAAAGCAGTGGAAAGGCACTCAGCAGGTATTTCCATTGGCTTCATTCGGTGGTGCTGGGCTGCCCAACACACGAGATGGCTGACACAGACCTCAGCGTTCCATTGAGAGAGGATTTAAAGCCAAATGAATCTACTGGAATGTTATCTTAGATTCGGGTGGGGTGGGACTGAGACAAACCTGCACTTAGAAAACTAGCAACAGAAATAATAGTATTTAAACATGAATAAAAAATATAAACATATGAATACAAATGCACACAGGTATGAATGTGTCCTGCAAACATTTTACAGATGGGAACCAGACACAGCCGTGCACCCACTACATGACACTGCTCCTCTCCATCAGGCAGCACCTCCCCCCGTGGCTGTGGGCACTCGGCAGCATGGGGCGGCCACAGCCTGTCTGCTTTGGGCAGCAGCCTCGAAGTTGCCTTGGAGAAGAGTCTCCAGCCCCGTCACACCATGCTGAGATCTACCAGCAGATAACAGGTTAAAGGAAATGTAAAAATACATCCAGAACTTGTCTTTCACGTGCCAGGGCTGAGGGTCCCAGCCAGGCCTACCTTCAGGCACCTACATTTCCTTTCACCAAACCATTCCCTCTCCTCTACAAAAGACAGAGGGTTGAGGAGGCTGCTCTTATCTGTCCTCTTTAAACACCAGCAGCTGTGCCTGCCTGTGCCCAGACCTGCTGCTGCAGCACACAAACATTCCTATCTCGGAATCTCTTGGCGCCCTGTGCAGCAATGTGAGCTGTGAGCATCTGGGAAAAAGGCCCTAGAAATGATTGATGAGGGGAGAGGGAAGCCAGGAGGGTGAGAGCTGCTCCCCGAGCACCAGGACAGCCTGCAGATCGGCTCTCATCGGGTTTGGCTCTTCCCAAAGGGAAGTTCCAAAAAAAAAAAAAAAAAAAAGGAGAAAAGTGTGTGTCTGAATTAAAGAGGTTCAACTGCTTTGTGCTGTGGCTTCTAATGGGAGAGGACACCCACAGTGGTGATCCAAGCAGATGCAGCACAGGATCAGTGGGGCAGGGCAGCACAGCTTCGATAATAAGAAAATACAAAGTTTGAACATGTGGGTACAAAAGAGTCAGGAAGGTGGAAGTGTGCAGGGGCTCCTGGGGTGGGAGCAGCACCGGCAATGCAAGCACTGCAAGAGCAGCGGGTGAGAATGAGGTACGTGCCAGTGTTACTCAAGGGCAATAAAACTGGTTTACATCAACGTTCATAAAAATGCCTTGAAAAAACATTTACAATTGCACAGAGCAGCAGCAATAGGAAAGCAGAACAGAGACAGATAAAGCAAACGCATGAGCCTGGTGAAGGCTGCTCCCCATGCTGTGCTTATCGGTGATAAGCCGCAGATAAAGGCCATTCCTGGGCTGTCCCACCCTTCTGTGTGCTGCAGAAGAGCTGACTGTACAGCCAGCTAAGATCACAGTAGTGGGAGCTACAAAGGCCTGCACTCAATGATAACAGCACCTTCTTCCTCAAGCAAATAATTTGCCACACTGAAGGCTTTTCCAGGCATTTAAATGTGTTATCACCTGAAGGGAGCCCCAGCAAAAGCAAACATGTGCAGCCACAGAGCTACAAAGGATGTGGAGCTAAAAGACAAATCCAAACCCCACTGGAAACTCGGAATACAGTTTTCCTAGGAATGCTGCCGAGGTGCCCTGCTGCTGTCCAGGCACTTGCCATTCACTGGGAGCTACAAAGAAGATGGAATAGTTGCTCCATCACACACTGCCTCCCAAGCTTTTCCCCTCCTGACAATTCCAGATGGAATTCCAAATTATTAAGAAGAACTCATTGGGAGTTTTCCCCACCTATCTGAAGAAAATGTAGCCTGATTGCAGCTAATTAGCAGTATTCTCAACATATACAGTGATTGCTGCTTTTACTCAGGAGGTTCTGAGGGAATGCAGGGCCTTCCAACCCCAACTTCTATGAAGTAGACCATAAAGAACTGTGCAAAACCATACATGTGCCTTCTATTTTGCAGAAATCCAGAACATGCTGCCTTGAGGACTTCATGAGGGAACCTGGGGATGCCCGGACAGAAGGACGCTCCTTTCTCCACGCTGCAGGACACGGAGGGGAACACTACAGGGCTTTTTCTTCTTTCTGTTTCTCCCATTTCTGCTCAGGGAAGGAAAGTGCACCAGTTGTGTTCTTTATGCTCTAACTGTCGACTCCAGCATTTAACAATAAAGTAACTGTTCTCCGTCAGTCCCTTCTGCCCCCATGCAAACAGCTTCCCAGGCTGTCAGTGCTCCTGATGGGAGCTGGAACCTGCTGGGCAGCATTCCCCCACCCAGGGCTGAATAAAACATTCAGATCTGCAGAAGGGCTGTCCTCTGCCTCGGGGCAGGCTGCACAACACAAAAG